CAAGTTTTATTCTCCTGAGCAAAAGTACGAAGACTGAGCGTCGTGCTAAGATCATGAACATGTAATGCAAAAATATGCTTCGTGTTTTCATATACAACTATTTACTTATATAATGAATCTTGATAGAGATATGTTGACACCAAACATTTTTTCTATGACGAACACTATAAAATAGAATTGTTGACAACTAAACAAATAATATTCTTTTTAGCTACATTAATAGGAGATTTTAGAAAAATAATACCGATCTATTTATTACGAAACATAACTTATTCATAATTTCTTTCTTATATTACTTTGAAAGATTTATTTAAATAATGGATTAAGCTGGGTGTCGGTGTGGCTGTGGGTGAAGAGAAGATCGACACTCACACCTAATAATGATATAGTCTTAAAATGTAAGTGAGATTAAACTTATTTAGCAATTCTATACGTTGTAAACCTTGAAAAAAATATTCTAGATTATGTTAAAACGACTATTCATCCACATTTGAGACTGTTATCTAAAAAGAAGAAATAATGCATCGTAGTTTATACATATATACTTATTCATACTTTGATTTTGTCAGCTGTTATTCATAGCTGTAGTTCTACATAAGAAAGCTAATGAAAAATATTTTCTTATCGGGCTCGGAATATAAATAAGATCAAATAACAATTTCTTTAATAAAACAGTAAGTATCTACAGTTCTATTAACACTACAAACTAAATAAGAATTGATATTCGTAATGTGTAAAAGCGATAGATTTATTTCTTTGATTATTTTAACGTATCATGATGAACAGTGCTGAGCAAACCTGATCAAATATTTTATTGATATTAAGAATGTTGATTATTCTGTACTATCCCCAATGTAGAACATTCCAAACTCTATCAGTGACACCACTTTCATATCTAGAACAATTTATCTTTTTCGATGTATCCAAGAGATCAGAACTAGTTGAATAGTGTTCTTTTTTTATATGGTCACCAATTATTCAAATTATATTTCAAATTTGTATTTATTCCAAAGTGGACCTCATACTAAGTATTTTTTCTGTGTTTTTCATAAAAAACCTAAATATAACCTTGCTTTTTATTTTTCAGCTCATTTTAATCGAAGTTTCAGAAAAAAATCCAAAAATTTTGTAAAAAAAAATCGTTTTTCCCAATCCACAGGTCTTTCTATTATCAAACATCTTAAAGTAAAAATCTCTACAAACTCTGAAAATCTTATCGCATTTCGAAGTAATCAAGAATTCAAATCAATGGATTTGCATCTGAGAAAATTTGTTAAAGATATACAAAATTCAATATTTTTCAAAGTGGATCGATGATTTTACCTTTAATAAAAACACTGAAATTTCTGTATTAATAAGATTGTAGCCCAAGTGAAGCTTTATCGAATACACTATCTCATCATATGGAACAATTCGACTGTTTTGAGAAACCTTGACCACAAGAATGCTCACTATAGTAATAACTTTCGTACGGTTGATGATTAATAGGCATTATATTTTTTAGAGTCATTCTGTTTTTTAATTGAGGTCATATTTAGTATGGTTAGATGTGACTTTTCACAAGGAATCTGAATATGCCCTCGGATTTTATTTTTGAACTTATCTAAGTCAAAATAAAGACTTATGAAAAAAGTCTTTTTAGTTCAATATTCTTAGAATTTTGAGCTCTAAAAAATCGTTAAAGTTTTATCGAAATTCGTTATCAAGTCGGTATGACATGGTTGAATCCATGTAGCATTAGCCTAATGCTTTTCGAACCCCTTATGTGAATGACTTTACTGAAGATAATGATGTGGAGAAAGTTATTCTGGCAAGAAAAGGTAAAACGAATTTACTCGAGAAATAAATGGCAGATAAAAGCTTTTTGAATGCGAACATTTGGAAGAAGATGGAAGGTGAATCAACAGTAATGAACTTTCCTTTTGCAAACCAAAGAAGATATTAAGAACAATACAATGAATATTTTTCTAATAAAACAAGCATATTCTTACATGAATGAACATATTGATGAAGCTGGACATTATGAAGTTTTGGTCTTCACAGAGAAGAATGGCTTACTCTTAGTTTCTATCCGATCAAAACATTCAAATAAAAAACAATACTATGCTATTATCCAATATGATTCTACAAGTATTAACGAATGGTGTTGTCAATTTCCTAACGGCAACAACACAAGTGAAAAGGAGCGAAAATGCCGTACTTCAGCGTACTTCCTGTACTTCCAGACTATGAGATAACTGTGCATCAGATCTCTTTAGCTATTTCGAGTCTACTATCGACCTATGTTACGGTATATTAGCCAGAGTCCAGTCTACGTAATTCTATTTGGGCTTTAGGCAGGGGCAGCGGGAAGAGGTCAGAACAAGGAAGATACCCAAAAATTGGGAGAAAGTAGCCTAAAATTTTTCGTAAAATTTATAAAATTTGTCCGATTATATTTTTCCAAAATCGGAGAAAACTGTTTAATAATCTCTCTAAATTAGGAAAAAATCTAAACCAGAATTCTCAAAGCAGTGGATACCCTCCCCCACCCCACCTCTGCTCGTGCTGCTCCCAGTTTTAGAGTGAGGTTGACTTAAGTAAGCTGGACTCCGACTTATATACCGTAACACAGGTCGACAGTAGACTTGAAATAGCTAAAGAGATCTGTTGCACAGTTAACACATAGTCTGGAAGCACAGGAAGTACGTTGAAGTACGGCATTTTCGCTCCTTCCCCTTGTAACAACACCAGTGATTGCTGTAGTGATATCTGCTCTATTGCAGAATATTTAGGACTCGCAAGACACAATAAAACTCCATCAAGACAATTTTCAGATAATTCTATGCATTTTCTGAAAGATGCAACATCAATGTATCAAGTGAAGATGAAGATACCAATGATAACGACAGAATTTACGAATTGTCTGATTGAAAACAGCTATTGAGAAATAAAAAAAACTGACGAATGGCACGATAACTATTGTAATTACTTCATTTTATGAATAAATTAGTAGATATAATAGATTTGTACAGCTGCATTTGAAAAGTATTTAGTTTTCTTCAAAAAGACTTACTGGACACCATCAGACTCATTGTATTTTTTTGTTTTTTGCTCATTAATCGAATGATTTCATTTCTAAAATCTCATGAAAAGTTCATTCGGTCCTTCTTTAACACATTGTAAAATTTTCATCATACTTTTTCTCATGACCTAGTCACCTGTTCAGTGGAAGATGCTTACTGATTAAGAGTAACCCGTTCATCCATAGAAAGTTTTTCTGAATTTCGGTTTTTTTACTTATTTCGAGACACTATTCTTTGCCTTCGTTTGTGTCAGTGAATAGTGCTTGAAAAACTAGCTAAGATAACCAAGTTTGAAATTATGAAAAGTATGATTTCATATTAATGAATATAGTTAAGCATAAGAAGCCTTGTAAAAAATGACATATTGTGTCATATCTTGGATTTCTCATCCTGTTACACAACTTTTGCCTTATTTTGAGATCATTAATCAATAGAGCTTGAAAAATTACCCTAAAGATCAAATTTTGACGTTGCGGCCAGAATCTTTTCATGTTCAATATCAAATATATATTGATGCACCTAGTGAGAAAAGTCAATTTTACTGATATTACGGGCTTTTTGCCCTGTCGCTCAACTTTTTATTTAGTTTTGAGATTTGTAGATGATAGAGCTTGAAAAACTACACCTACGATCTAAATTTGACGTTGCAACCAAACTCTCATCATAAGAAATGATGGAGATAAAAACCTATTGACATGAAAAACGATCAATTGCTACCATGACATCGCGATTTGTTATTGCAAGCTGATATTTTTTTTTCCGTAAAAAGCTCAGATTCGTAGAGAACTCGAAATTCTGACTTGGAAAAGGTATTTTCCACTAAAATTTTACAAATATTTATTCTGTGAGGAGCCTCACAACAAAAAAATAGGGTTCAGCTAGTGGTCAGGACTATATGAGGAAGAAAGGAGTTTTAAGACTTCTTATTATGATATTCATAATCAGTATACTTGAATGCACAAGCACATCTAATCTTAACTGGTAAAAAAGGAAATTTTTTTCGATGACAATCACGGACGGCCCCAAGCACACAAATCGACGATGTCGTTTTCCCCAGAATAAAGTCAAAATAAATGATCAGAAGTCGTCTCTAATTCAAACCTAATAGAAATAAATCAATCCTAAAGAAGTTCACAAAGTCGACCTTATCCGCTCTCTATCTTCTATTGTTTGCTTTTCTGCTATTTTCAGATGAATATCTTTGAATTTATAAATTATAAATTATATAAAATTTTATCTTTTGCTTTTCGCCTATTGTCATATGAATGCCTTTGAATTTATAAATTATAAATTATATAAAATTTTATCTTTTGCTTTTCTCATATTTTCATATGAATGCCTTTGAATTTATAAATTATAAATTATATAAAATCTTATCTTTTACTTTTCTGCTATTTTAGCATAGATGCTGATTTTTCATTTATATTCGAGCTCGAATAAGGCATCTACGGCCATAATTAACAACATCTGCTTACATCTGCTCGAAGATGCGCAGATATTGCTAATTACTAATAATTGTTCTTATTATTGTTGTTGTCTTTCATTAGCTTTAAATCAAAAATAAATAATTTCTGATGATGTTTTCAGAGGGTAACGAAAAGCTTGAATCAGATGACTTGTTATTGACTAATTCAGGATAATACTATTCGTAACACTTATTTCTTTCTTATTCAAACTTCTAATAACTACTGTCAATAATTAGAGCTTCATGAAGTTATTATCTACTTTCTACTTGTGAACACAAGCATCCTATGTTTTGATATGTCGTCTTTACCATCAATTGTCTCATCACTGGCCAATGCATCTCAGCAAGTAACTCTTTATCTAGGGCAATCTATACTGATTTTTGGTATTATTGGTGAAATATTCAATCTTATTGTATTTCTTACTCTTAAAACTTTTCGACAAAATTCATGTGCAGTCTATTTAATAATCATGTCATGTGTTAATATTGGTCAATTACTTACTGGTTGCTTTTCACGTATTATGATTACTGGATATAATATTGATTGGACTGAAACTTCATTATTTTATTGTAAATCAAGATGGTTTTTTTTTCAAACATTCACATTAACATCGTATGCATGTATGTGTTTTGCAATCATTGATCAATATCTAGCAACATCAACGTATCGTCGATGGCAACAATGGAATAATATTAGACTAGCTTATTTTCTTTGTACAGTGTCATTTACCTTTGCAGTTCTTCATGGATTTCCATCAATTATGTATTTTAATCTTACTGATTCACGTACTACAAACAAACTTATTTGTACTATTACCAATAGTGTTTACCAAAGATATCGAACTCTTGGTTTTAATGTTTTTCTAGCAGGTGTATTACCGGTTTTTACTACTATCTTATTTGGATCATTAGCATACAGAAACGTTCAACAATTAGCTTATCGAACAGTTCCACTTGTTCGACGTGAATTAGACAAACAATTAACAAGTATGGTTCTTGTACAAGTTGTTTACATTTTCATTGCTATTGTGCCATATACTACTGTAATAATAATCATAACTAACCTAGATTTACAAAACAAACCAATACTTGCTGCCGAGTTACAGCTCGTAGAGTGTTTGAGCGCAATTATTTATTATTCATATTTTGCAGTAAGTATCCCTTATTTTACTATTTATGTTTGATTTATCCATGTATTTATAGGCTCCATTTTATATATATATTTGTGTATCGAAACGATTTCGTCAACAATTTATTTATGTCCTCTGTCGTATTTATACTAATTGTTGTCGAAAGCCAACAATGATTAATAATCAAATATTACCAGAGTCTCACATGAATTGAAATACAAACAAAGACTAACAATATTGAACGAAAGTTTATAGATATGTTGCTTCATCTTTCTCTATTGTATCAATTTATTCATAAAAAAAACTGATTGAAAAATACTTTTTATACAATGTCTTTAATTTTTAGTTAGATGGAAGTTCAAGATAATTATCGCGCTTGAAGACTTGTTACTACCGCAATGAAATGCAAAAAATGTTTCGAATTTCGCTGTTGTTACTGTGTTAAACTAGACTACTTGCTACTAATCTATGAAATTCATTTATTTAAGAATATTTCATTGGTAATCACAATAACAAAGGATGACTTGCTGCAATGAATATCTTTAGTAGTTCTTTAAAATTAAGAAGTCGACATCAATTTTTAAATTTTAGAATAACCATATATTTTTCAATGTGTAATAATGAAGAGAATAACAGTCAATATGGGGAGATTGGTACAATGGCAACTTGTTTGTCTCTTGAGAGTTGGCATCATGTTCGAGCCTTTCCTCCCTCAGCACTATGTTTATATAACCCCGTTCTGTTCTACACATCTCAAGCTACTTGTTTGTCGATGGTCTATACATTTTGCTCGCATATCAAAGTGGTTGGTCTCGGCAAACCATCGCTCATGACTCATGTATCATTGCTCACAGCTTTATATGCTCTATGTTCGTGCTTTGCTTTAATTGCTTTTCATTTTTCCTAAGTTACTTGTAATCAGCACTATGTTCCTTTAGGCTCCATCATGGGTAGAGGGTTAAATAAACCGCAAATAGCAATAACAATCAATATAATAAATATAAATATTTTTTTATTTTAATATTTTTAATAAGTTTTTTATTTTTCCTGAAAGCGAAAAATAATAAGAAAAATAAAAAAAGAAAAATAAATCATAGAAAAAAGTATGAGTAACGCGAGGCTTTTTGAATTTTTTTCTTTTTCAAGCGATTTTGAAATTGCAAAAATGGTTCATTCTAATAGAGGTAGGTTCATATTTAACTGAATACTTTTTATAGTGATTTCGTTCATGTTCAAGCCCATGTTCAGTTTGTTGGTGATTATGTTCATATGCTTGTGACGGTTATGAGTTCAAATCTAAATTCATATGTAGCGGACGCAGGATATATTAGGTCCAGATTGAAGTATTTTAGGGCCGATTCGCCTAGGAACTTATTCCAATAAAACCTTTTATGTTTCAGGTGCAGTTCAATTAACTCTATCGAATGGTGAATACCGCATCTCAATACATTTAACTGTTGAGAAGATATTATCCTGATACCGGTCTCTGTTCTCTTATCGAACTAATATTTCTTAGGCCGATTCGCCTGGAAACCTATACCAACAAAAGAATTTATGTTCCAAGTGTAATTCCATGCGCTCTGTGAAATAGTGAAAACCGTCTCTCAATAGCATGCGTAGCTCTCAAGAAAACGGCTAGATACCGACAGCGATCACTTTAGCGGATCGATATTTGCTGACTTAATTCGCTCAGAAATCCGTTTCGACAAAAATATTAACATTCCAAGTGCTAATGCCTGATGTCTATAGAATTGAGATCAGTTTTTCTTCATAGCATTCTCGGTTCTCGAAAACAGGATCCGATGCTGGACTAGGCGCTAGTTTTCGACCATTTTCTCGACAAGCGAGGATACAATCGAGATATAGTTATCATCATACGATAGAACTCATGAAATTACACTTGGAGCATAAATGCTTTTTTGGAACAGATTCCTAGCTGAATGGGTCCAAGATGCAATAGTTGCACGAGGCTATTGGGATCAGTTTTCCGATAATATCTTTCCAACAGTTGAATGTATCGAGATGCAGTTTTCACCATTCGATAGAGCTTATTGAGTTGCACTTCGAACACCACCTAGATTTGTTGGAACAGGTTTCTAGACGAATCGAACCTAGAATTATGTTTTCTGGAAATTGTTGCAATTGAAGAAAAAATGGTAGTTTTTTTATATCTCGTTTGTTATAATATGTTCAGAGGAGCGGTTTTCACCTTTCGATGCAGCTCATCAAGTTCTACTTGGATCAGCAAATAGCTTTGTTGGAAATTCTCCGGATGAATCGGCCCTAAAATCATTCGAATCTGGACCTAAGATATATTGCGTCTTTTTCCAATGGCCGAAGAATTGAATAACCTTAATGGCTTTGATCTAGGTGAAAGTGCTAGCCATTCAATGATCTTTATTCTAGGAAAGAGTTGTCGCGTACGCTCAATTAGCAAAAAAGACAACGTTGTATAGAGATATCGGGGTCTAAATTCGCAACATTATTTGTGCATAGAGAAAAAACAATAAAATTAGCATTTAGGATGTAAGTGTGGGTGAGCGGCTAAACAGCACGATCCACACCCACACACACTCTAGCGAAAAATGATAAAAATGGCTCATATTTCTGCATTAGTGTATCGATTGCTGAGATGAAATAACAATGCACATCCAACCGTCTAGCATATCTATAATTGACATTTCCGAATAGTAAAAAATTTTCAAAAGTCCTCAGAATGTCGACTATAGAGTCTCTAAATGACACAACACGATTTTTTCCATTAGACTCCAAGAAAAATTCTTACCAGATATCATTTCAATTCCATCGCTAGCAATTCATAATCGAAACTGCTGTCTTTCTTACGTAGAACATATATTCCTCTTTAATATAGCACCGGCAATTGGATCTTCTAGGTTGTCGTTGGCTTCAATAGAATCAAATAAGACAATGGATGCATTGTTTCTATCGAGTATGTCTATGTATTGCTTAACTTTGTCATAAATATCCTCTGTATCTTTTGGTTTTAACGGCAAGTTTTCCAAATATTCTTTATATTGGTCAAAATTGGATTGGTGTTTCTCCCTCCTTTCATTGATGGATATTGGATTCGTTTTCTGCACGATTTGAATGTGAGAATGTTTTGATGTTAGCAATAATGTCAGCGAGGACATCTGCAATATGACCGGTGTCCTGCAAAAAATAGGTTTATCAAATAAAGACAACGTGAAACTATTGACATTTTCGGATTACTGCCTGACAATGGGGGGAAGAGGCGAGCTTTCACATGTTTTCTGTATATATATTTTGGTTGGTTCCATTGTCAATCTCTACAATATGCCGATGATAGAAAAATTCATGGGTCTACATCTCTTTTATACGAAAATTTTCGAATTTTTATTTTAAGCAAGTGATTCATGCGAAGATAGTCTGAAAAGTATTTACGACACAATGAGTAGAAACTTACCCGATAAATTTTGAATATAATCAAAATATCAGGTAGATCCATCATTGTAGTATATTCATACGAGATTATAATGCGTTCAACAATAAAAACCTAACATAGATGTATCAGCTATGCATATACTTAATATTTTCAATTTTTTTGTAACCTTTTACTTTAAAGTTCAAATTTTGTAAGAGTCTGCAAACTGCAGAAAATATCAAAAATATAACTGCTAAAGTTTTTCCGATGAAATTGTTGATATTCAATAGATCCGATGATTTTCTAAAGCCTAATAACGATCCAATATATCCATTTCTTGATTTCACTAACATTGAAGAATGCGTTTTCTTAGACGAAACCACCACATTTAAATTATTTCGCAAGTAAATATGAGCATGATATTTGTATTTTTTTATTCATACTGATTAATTCCGAAAACTTTCTTGACTACACAACGGTCGAAGTAGGAATCTTTTTATATTTAATTCGAGATTAGAAAGATCCTTATTGTTAACTAGCAATAATAGTAGCATAGATATACGAATGCAATGATCAAGTTTTCGAAATCCATCAACAGCTACTTGGTTGAAATCTTTTCAATAAAGCAATAAATACATTCCAGTTACAATAAAGAGTCTACTGAGAATCCGTCAATAATCTTGATAATTATTTATTTGAAATTTTTCAATGATCATCGAACATATAATCAAGCAAATTATATACTGAATCATTGATTTAAAATCAATCAAAATATATGAGAACACTGTACAGAACGCACCCAAGGGAAATAACAATCATTTTGCAAACTATTGCTGAATTATTTAGTGCTTGAACTTTATTTCCGCACCATGAGAGAAAATTTGCAGACATATGATGGGTTAACAAAGAATGGATAAAAGTAACATTAAATATAAAAGCTTTTAACGCAAAGTCTATGCAATTAAATTGTGAAACACAATAAAGTCACTTTAGTCATGATGGAAATATCTATGCCAAAAAACTTCTCCATTTGTCATAGACTGTTACAGACATCAACACCTGCCTCTAGATTCATCACAAATTGTAAGAGATGTGTTGACTTGTCAATTTATGCTACTGTTATTTCGAGATAATATGTCACACAATACTATGTTATTTAGAATATCCAAACGAGTACTTACACTTCGTATGGATGCCTTCAGTTAGATTTCAAGTGCATCATGCTATAAACTGTCAGGAAAAGAATATAGAAGATTTTCCAAAATATCAAAGTAAGAAGTTGAATCCTTAGCTCATAGAAAAATCTATAGGAAATTAATCAGAAATATTGAAAATATATCCCGGGTCGATCATTCCGACCGTCGAAAACGGCGTCTTATCAGGCCTGAAAAGCCTATAAAACGGCTCAATTCCTGTCATATACGACGAAAATCGACGGTCGTTTTTGATCGGTTTTGGGACCATAATCCATCATATCAGATTTCTATATGTAGTTTCTCCGGAATGAAAACGACCGAGTTTCATGCCGTTTCCGACGAATAACGGTGAGCCATATTGACACCGTTTTCTCCTCGCTTCGTGTCTGAAACACCCCGCTATCTGGCGTTTACAGTGTATATTACAATTGTATTTCGTCGATATTCCTGAACTCCTGAAATACGACCGTACATAGAACACGACGTCGTAATTAAATTTATACTTACCATTTTGTTTCTTGTTCAAGTGCTCTAAATAAAAATGAAAATTATATCGATAAAACTTTAACTTACCATATTATTTCTTATTGAAATGGTCTGAATGAAAAAACTCATTTACAGTTATTAGATTTATAATTACCGTTCCACTTGTTCTTGACGATATTTATCCTGTAAAAATGGAAACCTTTTGATTTCTAAGCAACGTTGAAGAGTTCAAAAGTTCCTAATATGATAGTACAAGACCTTGTGAGAACTTGTATATTCAAATAGTAATCACTGCAGTTTTGATAGATAAACCAATTTTCTTAGTAGATTTCAGAAAGAAACGATAATCTATGTGCTTTCATCTGTTTTATGACACGTGGACAAGGGATTTTGATTAATACACGAAATAAGGTGCAATAACGGCGAAAAACGATAGTCGTAACGGTCGTCCTTTCCGGTGGTACGTAAACGACCATTGTAAACGGCTATCGTTTATCACATCATTTAGCCGTTTTCCGTTGTATCGTAAACGATTATCGTAAATGTAGCCGTTTTTCATCGTTTTCACACCGTTTATGGCCGTTTACGAGCCTCTATATTTGACCTGAGTAAGTTTTCACATGTGGAAGTTGACTGTTTTTTATATCGGCTACAAAGTAGAGGTCATCATACAACTCATGTTATATTATCATTTCCGAAACAGATACAAGCGAGGGTATTGTTTATGGCGATGGCTGTGCGGGTTTGGCTGTGTTTGTTGGACTAATGATTTTCGATTAATGTCGTTTAGGTGAAATGTTTCATTTCGGTTGAGCAAGAGATCTTCACATTGTTGAAAATTTACTGATATAAATTCCAGTATTTCATGAATATAATTCCATCGTGTAACAACGTTTAGCTTCAGACGTGTTGATAATAATTAATTCATTTCACATCTCTTGAAATTAACACATAAATCTTGGCACGATTTTATCAACAATTCTAAGTTCGGACACAAACTAACGCCATTATCCAAAGTTAAATTGAAGCAGTAGCATATGCAGCGAAAATGTACCTTTTCTTCTAAAGAGAAAAAAAAATCATACAAAAGAAAATTGTATATATATAACATTTATGCAAACCACAAGCAAGACTAACAAGAAAATGTTTGATTGTGTAGATCCTGTAGCTGTTTGCAAGTTGTAGCTTCGGGAAAAATTTATTTTAGACGCGCGATAGCGATGTGTGGGCTTCGGTAGTGAGTGGTTGCGGTGCAGTCCAGTGGGAAAGTGGCTTCTTCTGCTAGACCCTTTGACCTACGTCATTCAAAAAGATGAAGGGTCCTTTTTTGTTGCAACATCAGTTTGAAATCAAAAAGTCCATAGACTCTATACACGATATGATATGCATTTGGACCTATATCGTAATTCGATAATATTGAAAAAATGTCTTTTTAATATTATTATTTGTTTTGAATTGTTCAAATATTGAAGTTCGTAACATATAGGTAACGTTTTGTTCATTTTTCGAATAGTGAATATACCAATAAACTTTACACCTTTGAAATCAATCTTCAGGATATTCTTTAACTTTTCTGTATATTCCTTCAATACTTGAAAAACAATATGAGAGATATTAGTTGTATCAGATAGAAATGATCTTACTGAAGTTGGACCAAGCTTAGTGCTTCCGTACTGGTAGCTAAGATCAATTAAACTTTGGCATAAAGATGCAAATCCCCGACCTATCACAATACTGAAAGGTTGAATATCAAAGGAACAAAATTTAGCACAGGCAACTGTGATTGATGGTTCATCATCAATTGTTACATTAGCTTCATTACAGATTTTGATAAATGACTACTTTATAATGAATATGATAATATATCATTACACAATCGACGCTGTACGAACATTTAATGCCTGATAAATGCTTCCAAAAGGAACTATGAGACAGTCGTTTTCTGAATTTGACATAAATAATGTTTCGCAGCCAGAAAAATATAACTGATATTAATGGTAGTATTTCAGAGATCAATTAATGATGATGATGATGAAAAAAAAGAATAAGCTAAAATTCAAAATTAGAAAATTAAATGTACATTTAACTGGCTATATATATAAAGAATATATTAGTAACATATTTATCTCTTTTGAATAGCTTTGAGATCAATTTAAATTAATTGTCAGTTCATTTTCTTGTTCACCGTATGTCGATGCTTCTAATACATAAAACTAATCGTAGATTGACAGATTAAGGTGTCCGTACTCTGTAACCTATATTGTAAAATTGTTTTTAATCGGTGCTGCCCTGCAGTACTCGAGTTACTCGAGCATAGTTTGCTATGGAGAATGAGTCTTTTTTGGATATTTTTGAATAAGGCCACACGGGCCATCTTACAAGGTTTCAAGCCAATTTTTACGTAGCTTTGTAGTGCTGAACACGTACTTCAAAACTATACCAGTCGGACTTCCATTGATCAGGTATTTTTGCAGATCGGTCCTTCTCAAAATCGGGTTCTTGATCAAAATCATGACTTGTGAACTGATTTGTGAGTCTTAAGAATCATATAAAGAACTATATTTTCTACAACAGGAGGTATTCAATAAGGTGTTGCCGTAGCTGGAACTTTAGCTCTGTAATATAATCGATTAACGAGATGTATGTATTCACAGAACACTGATAAGTGATCATTTTCTTTTATGAACAAAGTCTAACAACTTCGGTTGAAAGCAAGTTCAGTTTTGACTTATGTGAACAGACTCATATACCCCTTCACTCGACCAAATATTTTGCACAGATTGAGTGAATGTTCAACAAATAGAATCACTTGGTATTGAGTAATTAAAATTGTGATCTTTGTTAGGCTAAATTCAATTATTAATCAGCATTGGCTTACCGAAGTCGCTCTCTATTTATTCCATATACTTCGCGTTTCCTCGATTTTATCAAGTTGTGTTCTCATCATCTGCAACGCTTCCTGCATATTGTACGTATTGTGAAAATATTGACCGTATGCTACCGTATTCGAGATAGACGAAATCCACTTTTTCCTCTTGTGTTCGATCGAAGACTCTATATAGTTTCGTATAGTATTTCATGCTGCTTCAATATGAGGCATCGTGTGAAGATATCTGCTGGTTTTTTTTGGAAAATTCGAGGCTAGTTCCTTCTTTTTGAAATTTGACACAGGAAAAGCTGTATCATTTTCATGATCAGCGACATACACTTTACTTAAACCATAATTAGTTTAAAGAGTAAACAATTATCTAGAAATCTATAGCATTTTAATCAATTTTTGAGAAAATTTAATTAATATGAAGAATAGAAACAAATAATCTATTTCAAGAAAAAGTATACACTTTATATATCAATAAAAGCTTCTTAGTTTGGCTTAATAAAATAAAAATCACTAATAAAGGACTATTTTTCATAGAAATGTTTACATTCTTTCATATAGCCGCTCAACAATATTATTTTTTGGTCCATGAGCATTCCATTAGAAGATGATAAATGACTTAGAACATCGTGTCATATATAAAATATAATGTTAAATAGAAATGGATGAAATCGTACATCTATGTTGAAAGGGTTTTTCTTTTCGATGAACGTGTTCTATGATAATAGAACAACTAAGGTAAATAATAATTAGAGAAAAATGTTGATTTGATACGAATAGATTTAAATTTATTGAGACTAGTATGGCATGTAAATATGTCGTTTGGTGTTACTAGTAAAGAAACAGTAAAGACGATTGAATACAGAGCAATGATTTAGACTCATTTCACTTCAATAAAACGACTCTCATAAGTTTTGAGTTCAATATTATTCATTTAGAAATCTTTTCGTTAGTTGCTAGACCATATTTTAAGGTGATTTGTCCAATTTTATTTCTCAGTTAATCAATTCATTGATGATTGTTAGAAATAATTTTCACGATATGCATGACTTTTTATGTTAAATTGATGTGTTTTGTCCTCTTAGAGTGCTTTTACTGACAAATATTATGATTCATATCTATAAATAGTAACAAATAGAAGATGTATTGGTAAGTTGTTATAATAGAATGAATATATTTTTATTATTATTATTATTTGCATCCGTTTGAAGTGGAACATTTAAAATGTCTTGTATTTTAATTCCAATTTCTTTTTCTCTCTCAAAAGCATAATATGTGAACGATGTAAAAAAAACAGTCAAGCAAAAATATTTGATGATTACTAAAAGATCATATAAAAACGTCTATAATTGCCATGATATTCTGTTTGTTAATGTTCTCGTTAAATTAGTTGAATAACTTCAAACCGAAAAACGACGCTACAACCAAAAAGAAGAGTAATATGCCAAGAAAAATGAGTGCACGAACGAACAAGAAAATTATTTCATTTGAATATAATAACGAATATATGTTGAGAAAATATGCTTTAAAATAATGGTATCGAATTTGCAAATAAGGGGAAACTGTTTCGATTTCTTATTAATGTATCTATTTGGACAAGCACGGATGACTCTAAGAAGAAGACAATATGAAAGACTTTTGAGTTTTTACCATGATGTATATCATCTATAGAAAAAAACCAATCTTATTGATGCTTTTTAATGTATGTTGTATTCTTATGATAAGAACATGTGTTGAGTTCTATGAAATAAAAGTATAAAAAGAATGAAAAAAAACCAAGTCATTTAGTTTGAGATGACATACAACAAACAGTTGAAATGAGCATTTGTCTTACCAATAAAACATATCTTTATAATTGATGTAAATAAAATGAGGGTCATTGCTTAGCAACAATAATCTTAAATTGAGTAGAAGTGATTGAATTAATGATGAAGTTAAAAAAAAGAAACGAAATTAAATTTCTTCAATAAATAAAAACTAAATGTCTGGTAAAAGTGGATTTGATAATTTTCCAAATGAATTATATTTATCTATATTTGATTATTTAAATTTAATTGATATTCTTTATTCATTTTCAAATTTAAATTATCGAATAAATAATCTTTTAAAAACTTATTATCGTTTTACATTGAAACATGTTGATTTAACTAAATTAAATCCTAATGTATTTAAATATTATTGTTTAGAAAAACAAATAAATAATGATATTCATTCAATAAAATTAAATGATTATCAATTTAAATATTTATCATTTTCATCAAATAATCGACTTATTAAATTAAATCTTCTACTTGAAAATGATTATTATCTTCATTCAAAAGAACAATTTATATTCGAATATTTACAAATTTTAATAGTTCAACATAATGCTTTAACATGGAAAAAGCCATTTATTATTTGTCAAAATTTAAAACAAGTTCAAATTCATCTTAAAAACCATTTTGATCTTATTGAATTATTAAATTGTTTACCAATTGTTGAAAAAGTTGATGCAACTATTAATTATGATGTTAATAGGTAGTTTTAATTTTAAAAAAGTATAATTGTTTCCTATATATCTATAGTATTTAGTTGTAGAGAAAATTGTTTAACAAATAATTTTTATTATTCAAATAAATTAATTGATTTTTCATATATAATTCATTCGAATAATGGTCTTGTTTATTTTGTAACAGATTATTCAATAATTGAATCATTAATTAAACAACTTAATAATTTAATAAAACTTCGTCTTTATATAATTGGATGTATAAATACAATAATCGATGGATCTCGTTTAGAAAATAATTTATTTAATTATTTACCTAAATTAGAAGAATTTGATTTTTTTATTCAATCTTATGGTGGATATGAAATTAAATCAATGGATCAATTTCGTTCATTTAAATGGAATTTTGCTTCATATACAAATCAATTAACTGATATGCATTTTTTATTTACATTACCATTTAAATTTCAACGTATTGATCAATGTATAAATGAATATTTTATTCATGGAATTAAAACAACATTTCAAAGTAAGTTTACATATTTATTATATTAAACATTGAATTCAATTATTCTATTCGATTGTTTTTGTTTCATATTTCGAAAATTTTTCTTCAATATTTTAAAAATAAAATGAATTTATTTCTTATTTGAATTAATTATCCAGGGCATACTATTTTAAGAGATCAACTATTTAATTATCGTTTTATTTTCTTATGGGAAAATTTTTGTCACCTACTACGTATCCAATTTGTTGATAATTGATGAATATATAGATTTAATATAATATATGAAAAATAGATAGTTTTTTATGTAAATATGATAGGATTTATAATAAATAAAAAGTAAAATTTCTTTTTAGAATCGAATAATATTTGTGAAAATGAAAAAGATTTTCCTATGATTTATGTAAAACATGTTGATTTATCATGTTCAATAACCGATAAGTTGTTAATTTATCTTCGACAATCATTTCCTTCACTAGAATCAATTCGTTTTTCATCATCAACAGCTGAATATTTATCTTCGAAATCCTTATATCATCGATCTCGTTATTTAATTAATTCAATTCGAACAGTTATATTTGATAATAGTTGTAAAAATCAAACAGCATTTATTCATCTTTTACCAAATTTAAATAAATTAATTATAAATCAAACATTATTAAATTGTTTATTAGAAGAAACAAATAATAATTATATTGATCAATTATCAGAATTACATCTTTATTCATTTCAACGACATTATCTTCATCAAATAATTTATGCTTTTCCAAATATTCGTCATTTAGTATTAAAAACTCTTTTAACAAATGATGAAGGACCAATTCGATCATATATTGATAATCGTTGTCATCATAAACATCGTCCGGTTTCTGTTTGTGATGTTTTAGATGAATTATTAAAAAGTAAATTACGTAAATTAAAAAAAATCGAAATTGGTTGTTATTTTGAACGAGATGAACTAAATATTGAAGCTATTTTATCAAGATTAATTACCAAATATATTCAACGATATAATCAATATCATATTTATTCCGAAGACTTTAAATCAACTCGGTGTGGATCAATAAAAATTTTCTTTTTTTAATTATTAACAAATCAATTTTTATTTTTATTTTAGTTTATTAGTTTTTATTTTATTGATTATTTTCATTTGTTATTTATTAAGATTTAAGTCAAAAACATATTATTTATCAAATAAAAACTGCTTTGAGCATTAGTTTTTTAATTTTTTTTTAAATAAACTTTTCAATTATCTTTTATGATAAAGTAAACAATGTCAAATAAACTAATTCTATTTAAATACTATACAAATATATAAAAAAAAGTCAAATTAAATTAAAAATATGTTATTGAGATTGTTATTAGAAAAAAAATTATATTAAATATCATATTAACTATTTTCATTATCTATTTTGTTTATTTTTTCGAAAAAGTTTTTTTTTTTTTTTCTTTTAAATAAAGACAATAAAATTTGATATTATTCTTGATCGAACGATTATTTTATAAATCGAATCTCCTCACAGAAAATAACAATCTTTTTTTTTTAAATTGAACTATTTCAACTTTTTTCATTTATTTTAACTTCAATCTATCATCTAAATTTAGTCTGTTTTTCGAATCAATCTCAATAATTAAATATGCTTTGATCAACAAAATAAACTTAATAGATATTTGACTGATCATGATGATGATATTCACCATCATCATCACTTTTGATCTATTCTATAACACATATACTTTTACCGTAAAAATAAACAAAAACAAATTAATTTTTTATTTGCTCTTTCTTACGAGGGAACGTTCCCAAGTGATTAAAAGCTTTTGAGCTCATATGTTACCCATTAGGTAGGGGACCACCAGATTAGAGAAACCTCCAAAGGATTCGTGCCCATGTTGAGATTTGACAGAGATATCTAATTTTTAGTGGATTATTCCTGCTGGACCCTAGTTCTACAGCAAAATCATATTTTCGAATTTCGACCTGAAACTTTGCCCACATGGAGGCCTCGGTCAGAGTAGCTTGTATAAAAAATTTCAGAATTTTGGGACATTGCATCTCCAAGGTATCAATCTTTCAAAGTATCCATGTTATCTATAGAAAAGTGCCTATATTTTCAAAAATTGATATCTTGGAAATGCAATGTCCAAAAATTCTGAAATTTTCTATATAAGTTACTCTAATCGGAGCCTTCATTTGGGCAAAGTTTCAGATCGAAATTCGAAAATATGATTTTGCTGTAGAACTAGGGTCCAGCAGGAATAATCCACTAAAAATTCGATGTCTCTGTCAAATCTCAATATGGGCACGAATCCGTTGGAGGTTTCTCTAAGCTAGTGGTTCCCTACCTAATGGGCAACATATGAGCTCAAAAGCTTTTAATCACTTGGGAACGTTCCCTCGTTAGTAAAAAAAAAAGAGCATATTAGAGGTACGGTTTATACTTAAGAATCTTGTTTTATGATAATGTATTTAATAGGTCTAATCAAGATACATTGAACGATAGTAAAAAAGTGTAATGTTCAATAGTAAAATATGTTGTCGTGAAGTGCGAAATCAAATTGTTGAAAATTTGTCAAATTTATATGATAATATCTTATGATGAGTTCAAAGATATCTTTATATATCTTTATAGGATTTTCAGAAAGATCTAAAAACTGAGATTTAAGAATAACTTTTCACAAGCTTTCAAATGATATAACTTGTTTCGGAAAAAAAAAATTTTCATATGCAGACGCCTGTTTAAATTGGTCGGTTTTTCCATGGACCCCTCCCCCCTCTTAACAGAGAGAGATAATATGTAAACTATCTTCTACAAAATATAAAATTGTCATTGTTTTTACAGTATGGCCTTTGACTTTTTCTTGATAAACACTCTAAAATTTTCATTTTTAACAATAATTAATTATGTCTTTATCGAATTTTCATCAAATTCGATTTTATTTTCTAAACTATCTTTATTTTAAATAAAATAATAAAAAAAATTATTTTTATATATTAATATAACTAAAGCGACCTCTTCTATCCTCTACTTAACAACGTTCATATATATTTACAACAATTATTCTTTGTTTGTTTGTTTATCCGACATAATCTCATCATTGTATTGTATTGGTCTTGTTTTATTCAGAATGAATATTCTTTATCCTCCTCCTAATTTATTTAATAAACATAACAGGATATATAGGATTTTCAGATGGGTTTACTGTGTGTAGAGTGAAGATGCTCTATTGAAACGTTAATTACTACCGAAAATCCTAAATAAAATATAAATATAATATGTTTAAAAAAAAAATTTATCAACAAAATGCTTAAATAAGAATAAAAAGTGTTATTATCCAATGATGTTTTAATTTAACCCAGCTCACTTTGAATTCTAATGAAACAGATGCATTTATTATAATGCATTCAAATTTAACTGAGGATATTTTATACACTTTTCATATTATCTTTATTATTTTCAACAATTTTATTTAATAAAGAATAAATGAAAATAAAAAAAAAAACTTATCGTTTTATTTTGTTGAATTGATTTTAATAAATGAATTGGTGATAGTTTTCAATAAGAATTCTATTTTTCTTTGATCAATTTTCATCGTACTCGCGCAAAAAAAAATAAATTGTTAAATAATAAATAAAAAGAACTTCTTAAATAAACTATTTCAACAAAAATGTCTTTATAATAAAAATAATACTCGAGACAGATACTCAAATATGTCAACAACTATTCAAAAACATATTTATTAACTAATTTAATCATAAACGTATAGTTTTATGCATAGTTCTAGGATTTTTCTTCCTTGAAAAATCGATTGAAGTTCTAATATTATTTCATTGTCAGAGTCAAATAGATATAGTCAAACGATAACAATAAATCTTTCTAATATTAATATATAAGACAAAAGATGAATTTTAATCGCGATTATTTCAAATATTAAGTTCTTCAAGGTTGATTATTATAAACGTTAGAAAAAAGAAATTTTATTCTGTGACATATTATTATATCTTGAATTTTTTATTCAATGAAGAGTTATGCTTGGTAATAAATGATTTCATATTATTTAAATTTATCTAAAACTAAGTTACATTCATATTGAAGAGTTTTTTTTTTGATGCAGCTACGGTTTTTCCCTATATTAAAATGCTCCAGTTTCTCCTCCATTCTAAAAAACAAATCAAATATTTGAAATTTTGGAAAGTCAATGATATTTTTACTGATAATAGATTTAAATAGTCTCTATATTTATGATAACAATATTTGAGAGTTTTTTTCTAATAATCATTGATAATACATTGATGTCATTATCTAGAAAAATGTTATTCCAATATCGTTGAATTGTTTTATTTATATTTGACTAATATTGAATATTTCTAGAATTAATATAATAAAACAATTAATTAATTATAAATTTATTCATTCTTTTATTATTATTTATGAACATCTCTCTAGTTTGACATATTTTAAACTTGTTTAACTGAGAGAAAAATATTAAAATAATCTTTAGATTTCTGAAATAATTAAGATGAATTAATCATGATTTAAACAATCAAATAATATCAACTTATGCATGTTATATACGGTTTGGTAATTAAATATCGAATGAGAAAACAAGATTGTCGAAAGAAAAATATAGACAAATAAAAATGGTGAAAAGCATTTTGTCGAAGCAAAAATGTCGAAATAGAAAATGACGAAAAAATTTAAAATGATTGCCGTCTAAATGTTGTCGAAGAAAGGTGTGATGGGAATGTGGTGTAGATGTGGACGTAATGTAGCCGTGAATTTGGTGTAGCTGTCAGGTGTCGATGCAGAATAAGCATAAGAGTATTGCATTAGAATTATCATTATCATTATTTATTGCTAAGACTTATGGTTTTGCCCTGTCCTTAACCAGTAACACAGATGTTTGAGCATTTTTGCCATTGGAGTTAATTAATGTCAAAGTGAAAGAATTATGTTTAGATTATTTTTAATTCTAATAGATCTAGTCAAGGTAAGTTTTTCAAAACTATCTGAATATGCTATCAATAACTGTTAGGGAGGGGCTACCTGAAAATACTACTTCTACTATTTCAGTTGCTCTCTATAGCACATTAGCGTTGTTCGTAGTATTTTAGGTATTAGCTGTAGCAGTCTGTAGGTTCTGGTATGGATTTAAGTGGGTCTAGTGTGATTGTGATCGTGTAGGATGTGACAGTGGGTGGGTATATGGGTCTGCTTTTCACTCTCAGTCAAGGCTGTAGTCACCGCAAAAGCTACAATGACACGCACATCTTCACTTTATACTCATACACTTCGAAATCCTCACTTTCGACATTTTGTTTTTCTACATTGATAATTTTCAATATTTTGTTTTCGTTCGACGTCCTGTCTTTCGATATTTTGCCACTTTCTCGTTCTATACAATGAGATAAATGGTAGTTAAATATAGCTACGATTGTTGTCATTCACTAAAAAGTTATTGGTTGATTTTCTAAATAATTTGTTTTTTATTGAATAGGAACAAAATGTGTTAAAGAGTGATTGAGACCTATTTAAATATAATATTTAATTAATATTTTATAAATAGAAATTTTCAAAATCGAATGATAAAAAAAGTGAGATGAATATTATTTGTTTGTTTTTCATAATAAAATGAATGATTTAATCAAGGTTTTTAAAAATTTCAATCAATTTGATCGATGTTATTAACATAAATAATAAATTAAATTAATTTTATTCTATTTCTTAAAATAATGTAAGAAACAAACAAATATGATTAAGTCTAATTTAAAAAAGAAAATGATTGAAAGAATTTGAAATATAATTCTATAAAATGAATTTATTTTGTTAAATTTTCATTAATTTAATATTTTATAAATTAATTGAAAATAATTAAAATGATAATTTAAAGTTAAAATGTATTATAAAAATATATATTTATTTAATGTTTGACATGTTTCAATATAAATATGAATAAATTATATTTGCTAACATAATCGATATTCAACTTTGTTTATTCGATTGTTAATCAAATTTTATTTTATTTAACAAACAAACACACAAAAAAAGAATCAAGGCCATTAGAAAACTATCAATGTCAAATTTCGACATTTATTTCATTAAAAGATAAATGTTATTTCGAATTCTAAACCTTATTATAATTCTGGTTAATTCATAAACAGAAAAAATATTTATTAATTATTAAATAAAATTAATTCTTAATAGAATATTTTATAAAATAAACAATATCAAGAATCTAATCTTGAAAATTATTTTTATTTTAAAAGTTCAATCACAGTTTAATCAATAGTTTTTTTTTTAAATAAATAAATAAATATCGATTATTAATATATATATATATAACTAATATAGTCAGTTAAAAATAAAATTATTTATTTTAATATATTTATCAAGAATTCTTTTAATTGAATTAAACTATTTTCAATTGAAAATAATAGTTTAAATTATTTTAACTTTATTTTTAATCTATTCAAAAAAACAAAACAAAAAATCTTCTTTAATCGAAACATATTCATATTCATATTAAAGAATAATATCTTCTTCGAAATTTTACAATCATTGTTTTGTTTCATTTAACTTCAATTCTCTACAATTTATTTTCTTTTTCTAATCGGGTAGTTTTTATGAAAGAAAAATAAAAATAAATGATCGATTATTATTCGTTGAATAGCTCATATAACAATATTTGTTAAAAAAAGAAATAAGAAAAAAGAAATAAGAATGAAATCATCGTTGTTAAAACAAATTTAACTTGTATATATGTATATCACTTCAACTTGATTTGCTTTTCTTTCTAATAGTATTCTCCTCTTCATTTCTTTCTGTTTCTTTTTTCGGCTTCTCAAAAATGTTTTTTTTTTTATAGAATGTAATCATTAGTTAAACGAACACTGAACGAATAAGAATATATATGTTTAAGTGAAAAGAAGAAAAAGTAAAAGAAAAAAAGAAAAAAAAAGAAAAAAAAGAAAAAGAGAAAAAGAAATATGATCGTTTAGTTTTGCAAAGAAATAATTGTAAAAAGAAGTAAAAGTGATGGTACAATCTGATGTTCCACGAGGTAGAACAAAATCAGGTAAAATAAATGCTCGATGGTATTTACAAAAATTAAGAGCATCGGCTGCTAATCGTAATAATTATATTAATAATTATATTGATTATGATAATTATACTAATAAAACAAATAAAAATGATACAATAAGAGTTGTACGTGGAAGTACTGCAACACAAGGTCAACATATTCCAAGAATTTTTCTTAAATCGCCAACTAAATCATTTGAAGATGAATCAATTAAACAGGTTTTTATTTTTGTTGTTTTTCTATTTAAATAAATAATATTTAAAATAATTAATATAGAAATTGTCAAATAATCGTCGTTCAAGTTCAAATAAAATAGCTTCAGCTACATCTGTTAAATCTACATCAACAATAAATAAAATATCTTCTTCATTAAATGAATTTAATTCAAATAGTTATCAATCAGTAACAACAACTATTCAAAAAGATGATAAAGATTATTTATCTGAACGTCGAACATCATCAGGTACACTTTTATCTCTAAAAGCTGATTTAATAGTTCGTCCACCAAGTACACCTGTTGATCAAAGATGTCATAGAGCTTATTCATCAACAACAAATCCTATTGATCGTGAAACATGTGCACTACTTGGACCACAATTATGTTCAGATTGTATTGAAATTAAAACACGAGCAAATTTATCACCAGAACGTCTACCAGCTAATTTAATGCAACAACGTTTATCAGCATTAGCTTTAAGACGTTTTATTAAAAATGAAGAAAATGTAAGTGATGATGATTTATTAAAAATGGTTAATAATCAACAAATTCAAATAACAAATAAAAATTCAAATTCAAATTCAAATGAATTTAATTCATCAATTATATCTGATGATGAATATTTTGATCGTTTATCATCATCACTTAGTCAAAATGCTGGTGAAAGACCATTTTATTTTAAAAATTTAAAAGATTTTTCTCAAAAATATCAATCAAATAAATATAAACGTTTATTATTAAGTGAAACTCCTGCTCCTCAATCATCTAATCCTGTATTTAAACAAAGTTCATTTGAAAAATTTGATACATCATCAAAATATTCATATATGAAAAAAGGTTCAACTATAAAACCAAATTTAAAATCAAATGCATTTAATTTTTTATCAACAAGAAAAAATGAACAATTTTATAATCAATATAGATATTTAACTAATTATTCTCCACCATTACTTATACAAACATTACAAGAAACTGTTAGAAACAATTCTAATAGACATTTATTATCATCGAATCAAAATCAATTTGAAAAAAAATCATTTATTACATAGATTTATTCTCATCAACAATATATTGATCTTTAAACAATATTTTTTTTCTTTTTACAATATATTTATTTATTTATCATTTAAATCTTTTCTTTTTTTTTTGATATTAACAAATCTCTGTCAAATCTAATTGAACTGATTATCAAAACTTTTTTTTCACGATCAATTTTCTTTTTTTTTTTTTGTTTTTTTTTATATTGACAAATTTATTTGATCAACTGAAGAACTTAAAGAAAGATTCTTTTATGACTAAACACGCAATAAATAAAATCTACACAATAATAAAACTAACATTAAAGCCATAGAAAAATACGATTAATTATCTCTGTTTCTCTTTAACTATTGGATGAATCCGTGGGATTTCTACCACTTTTGCGGAAAAATATTTTATTTTTCATTTTTAATAGACTAGTTAAATGTATCATAGGAGGAAACGATCTGAGACAACAATTAAAAACTTTTTGGACATATTAAGTATGGAGAATCAAATCATTTTTTAGGAAGACATCGCACACATAAAGAGTGTCCTATAATTAATTCTTAATCATATTTTTCATAGTTTTTCAACTCTCTAGATAAAACTAATAGTAAAATACATCGACAAGACTGAAATACATGAAGTTTTGCACTTAAATTATTGAAAAACTCGAGTGCAAACTTGATGTATTTCACCATTAGTTTTATCTATAGAGTTGAAAATTTCAGAAATAAAAGATCTTGATTAGATATATAGATGTGATAAAAATTTAACCTCTCTATGTCAACAAAAACTATGAAAAATATGATTAACAATTAACTATGGGACACTCTTTATCTGTGTGATGTCTTCCTAAAAGATGATTTGATTCTCCACACTTAATTAGTCCAAAAAGGTTTTAATGGTTGCTTGAAACCGTTTTCGACTATAATACGTCTAATTAGACTATTAAAAGCAAAAAAGAAACCTTTTGTTTCAGAACATTGCCACATAATACCCTTCTTCTACAAAGTGGTAGAAACCTCACACGGATTGACCCTATTCTTAATCATCACAATCGATTAAATATATTCAGTTTTTCTTATTCTTCTTTACATTAACAAGACAGCATTTCAGACAATCATTATACAAACAATATCGCATAAAATCAATAAATTTCCTTTTATCAGATAAATAAAATCGAATAATACTTTTCTCTATGTTTTCTTCTTGTTCAAAAAGATATATTTATGTAAAAAATATGTCTGATGGAAAATATTCATGTCATTAAAAAAAAAACCCGAAAATGTTCATTTGAAAATAATCTATTATATTTCATATATAGAATATTGAATATAAATAAATTTATTTTAATTCATCTTTATATTCTATGAAATTTTATTTTTATATTTAATCAAGAATATATTTTTAAAATTGAATTTAACTTTTTAATAATTATAATTGTACTTCAATAGCTATTTATCGATAAATAATCATATTAATATTATTTTATTCAAAATTTTCTACGGAGACGATTGTCGAAATAAAAACATTGAGCAAAATGATTTTTATTATCAAAAAAGCAATATATCGATTTGAAATCGAGAAAAATAATATTAGATCGATCATCGATTCACATACGACTATTTACCTAAATTCTATTTTCATCCTATTCGTTTTTTTTTTCTTTTAATTAAATTCAATTGAAAAAAAAACAATAAAAGAAAAAAAAGCAAAAGATTACTTTTGATTGAATTAATTATTAATAAAAATGTTTAAACTATAATAAATGAAATTTATTTTATCATATTAAACGGTTAAATACTTATTTGTTTCAGTCGTTTATTTATTTTCTTTATTTCCTTGCAAAATGATTTTTTTAATTTATTTTTACGAAAAAAAAAAAACATTCGATTTAATGCATGATTTATATTTATCGATTATATCAGTTTATATTCATCATAATTCAAGCGTTATCAAGTATTTATGTATTTTCATTTCATTTCAATCATATCTATAAACAATAATCGAAAAACTAACTATTTTATTCATCGAATAGAATTTATTGTTGTTATAATTGTCAATTTAATCAAGATTTTACACGTATATATTTATATTGAATATAATATATATTATTTTTGATTAAACAAATATTAATTTAATGTCAGTAATAATCAATAATAAATTATATTTATTTATTAGTTGTTTAACTTATATATCAATATTATATGTAAATGCTCATCCAATTCGATTTGACAATTCTAAAACAAAACAAAAATCATTTTATTTTGATTCAAATCAAAAATTAAATAATCATATTTATATTCAAAAATATTTTCAAATAAAATCTTCAATAACAAATCATCCTTTTATTCAAACAACAACAACAACAATAAAACCATTTACTATTAATCATTCAACAAGAAATTATCATAGAACAACAAAAACAACTACAGAATATAATCATGCTTCTTATTATTCTTCTTCAAGTTCAACCATAAATCCATATGATTATGATCAATATGATCAAAATATTGAAAATAATCAAAATGATGATTCAAAAGTAAAATTTCAATTAACTCATTTAAATTCTATTAAACAAGATGAAAGAAAAATTGAATCTATTATTATTAACAATTCGTCTCAAATAGATAAAATAAATAAAGATAAACAATTAAATACATTAAATTATAATCCGAACTGGGAGAAAACAATAATTAAACAAGTTCTTATACTTGATGTTTAACTTTTTTTTATTTTATTTTATTTTTTTTTTAATTCATTCTATTTAATAAATACTCGAAAATTTTGTTTTTGTTTTATATTTCGATTAAATTAAATTAATTATTTTAATATAATAAAAAATAATTGTTAAAATCAATCTTATATTTAAGTATAAGACTATTTTTATGAGAAATCGTTCGGAAGTAGGAATATTGAATATTCTCGATTGTCGATAAATATCCATTTAATATAATCAACAAATTTTATTTCGAGATCATAACTACTTAACAATAATTCAATATATATTCATATCAATATATTAATTTAAGAAAATAAATTTACTTATATTTATAATTAAAATAAACATAAATTAAATTAAATAGTTAGAAATAATATATATATATACGAAATATTAACTAAAATAATCCTTTCAGTTAGCTTTTCATATTATTTATTCTTAATGATGAATTGAATAATTGTTCAAAAACTAATGTAAAATTCATCATAGAATAAATTTGAAAGAAAAAAAAAATGTTTCCCTTACATAATTCATCTATGATAATTATTTTATGTTCATTTAATTGTCTCGTTTGAATTATTAAAAAATAAAAATTTATTAAAATTCCTAAACATTAATTAACAATCAATAAACATATTAAAAAAAAACAGCGATAGAAGTTTCAAGAAATTTGTTGATTATAAATATATTAAATATCATTTTTTAAAAAAAGTCTAATGAAAATGAATGTGGAATATTTTTGTATATAAAATATGTTTTAGAATAAATAAATAATTAGTAAAATAATTATTTCGATTTATTTTCCACCAATAAATATCTATATTAAATAATATTTATTAATTTGATAATAAATTAAATACTCATCATTTATATTTAATATATTAAATTGTTTTATTTATATTTAATCAGATATTTTTATTAATAATTTAATTAAATTTATTTTCATATTAATATTATTGATATTGTTATTAAAATAATAAAAGAAAAATGTCAAAATAATAAATTCGAATAATGATTATATAATAGATTGAAAACTAAATTTACATAATCAATAAACTAGAAATATACTATTCGTTTTTTTTTTTCTTTTTTTTTCTTTTTTCTATTCTCTATTCAATTGTTAAGTCTCACTTATCCTTCGATTTCAATTGTTTAAATCTCTATTGAAGTTTTTTTTTTTTCTTAAAGATAACAAAAGAATATTGAAGATTGTTTTATTAAATGACATAACACCTTTTCAAATCTAACACTATTTATTAAGAATATTTTCATTGGTTTCGTTTCTGTTTATATATTCAATTAAACAAAATAAATATTATCTTTCAATAAATAATATCAAGTTATCAATATATTTTATTGAATATCATTTTTTATTTTTGTTTTGCATATATTTATTTATTGTTAAATCAAGTAAATATTTTGTTTTTTTATTAATTATATTCGATATATGAGTAAATGTGTTTAATGTCTGTCTGGTGAATAGATAAATCGATGTGATATTCAGACAAATCATATGTCTTTAACAGATTAGATTCGTTTACACACTTTCTCATTTACATTTATTTAAGCTTCTTACACTTTTGTAAATAAAGGTAGTCAACGCAATGTGAAAACGTTTTTTTTTTCTAGTAAAATGTACTGTTAATTGTCGGTACTTGACATTGAGATTAGTAGAAATAGGTATAGATATGATTTAATTCAATATAAGTTATGAACTTTATTTAAATAGTTTTATAAAGGTCATTGAAGAAACTATATTGAAAATTTTATTTATTTAATCATCATTATTTATATCAATAACAAAACAACTAAAAGAATTTTATAAATAAATCTTTATTAATTAATATAAATAATTAAATAAAATAAATTTCTATTGTCTTAAATCAATATATATATATTTAAACATTTCAATATCAATTATTATCAAATATATATATATACATTCGTCGTTTTTATTTTTATTTAGTTTTCCATATAATTATTAAAATAAATGATAATGATAATGATTATTATTTTTTATTGATAAATAATAATATAATTTATTTGTTTATTTGAATAAAACATAAGATAAAACAATATAAATTAATAATCAATGAATATCTATCTATAAGATGATATTGAATTTATTTAATAAATTAAACGATAACATATATTGAATATTAGAAAAAAAATTATTATTTTAAATGACTTTTTGTTATTTAAATTATCTTGAAAATAGTATTCAGAATAATGTTTATTCATTTTTTTTTGTTTAATTACTATCGTTCTCGTCGTTATCATTGATCATTGTTTTATTCTATTCAGTTGTTACAACAATATGAATTGGAGAATGTCTCACAAAAAACGAAAGAATAAAGAACACAAAAAAAACACATGAGAGAAAACGATGGGGTGCACTATGCATTATACAACTTTCTCTCGTCAATATATGTATGATGTATATATAATATATATATATATAGGCACGAGCCATTCAATATAAATGAGTAAGAGCATAGATCTTTTTCGTTTTAGTTCTATAGTAATAAATAATAAAAAAAATTCTTTTATATAAATATATATTGTTTACTTTTTTTGAATTGTTTTAAGATTATTAAATTATTTTTAAATAAATAATAGGATTATTATTAAAAAATTAATTTATTTAACAAAAAATAAAAATAACAAAAAATTGTTTTCAATATGAATCAAAATTGAATATAAAGAAAAATAAAACAAAAAAACGGTCTAATAAATAACATAAGGTAAGATATATCTGTTGATATATATAATTAATGATAAAATCCATTTAGTGAATTAACTTAAATCATATATATTACTTTGATATTATCATATAAAATAGTTTCATTTAACTAAATATTATCATTGATTTCTTATCATTCTATATGTCAACAGATAACATTTGAACATAGAACTTATTTTCTTTTTTTCTCATTATAATATATAAAATCTGAATATATGAATAGAATTGTTAGACAAATATATTCGATTTTATTAATATATATTCAATTGAAAAATAAAATAGTTAATATCACTCATCAATATGAATTTAATATAAAGATAAATAATCTATCTATCTATCTATCTTATTTAATTAGTATTAAATATTTTAAATAATAATTATATTGAAATAAGAATATGAATAAATAATATCGATTGATTTTTAAAGTGGTTTAGATTTTAAAAAAACGAAAAAGAAAAAGAAAAAGAACTTTTTCTTTGATTAAACATAAAAGTGGATAAATATGAACTGTCCTTAGATTTTTTTTTTCCTTGAATTCAATATTTATTCTATTTTATTTTGTTGAACTTTTTTCTTCTTCTTCTCTTTATCTTGACAATAAATATATGCATTTATTAATCTTAAATCTTTTACAATTTTGATCAACGTTCAAATAAACTCAACTAAAATTCGTTTTTTTTTTCTTTTTTTCTTTTTTTTTTTATTGTGTTTATAGTTCGTTCTTTCTCTTAGTCATTTGTCTGTCTATCTATCATTCATTTATACTAATACAACTAAAAGAGTATTATGATAAGAACAAATCATTTATAGCTCTTTTCTTTTTTTTTTCATAAATTGAATATCTGTTTTATATCATATAGGTATAAATACTGTCGAGTATGTCTTATTTGATTATTGTCAATGAGTAAGAAAATTTTGGTATTGTTTATTTATTTGTTAAAATCCTCATTAATATTAATGTTAAATAATGATAATTCATTAATATCAAATGAATATTTTATTGATACATGTTGTTCATTAAGTAAAACTGATAAACTAAATATATATTGTCGTCAAAATGAAATAATCCGTCTTAATTTAATTGAAATATATTATAATTCAAATGAATATTGTTCATCAGAATATAATTGTTGTAAATATCAAACAAATTGTTCACGTCGTATAACAAAATATTCAAATATAAATTGTAATGAAAAAAATTCTTGTTCAATTGATAGAACTTGTTTAAAAATTTATGAACCATGTTCAAGTTTAAATGGTTTATATGGACAATATATAACTATTTATTATTCATGTATATCATTATTATTAAATAAAACAAAATTGAATGATAATTACAATGATAATATACCATTTATTGTTAAATTATTAACATCAGAAAAAACAAATAAAAATAAATCATTTATTGAAAATGATATTATTTTATTTAAAAATTTTAAATCTTCACCATTATCATTAATATCAATTATATTTTCTTTTCTATTATTTATGTTTATTATTTATTCATTAGCTGATCATATTGGAAATAAAATTTGTCGTCAAAAGAATTTAATTAAAAATAAATCTATATTAAATAATCAACAAAATGAAAGAGAAGATAAAATAAATGTACAATCAAATCGTTTTAAATCTTTAAAAGATGTTAATTCATATCGAACAATAAATTTATATAATAAATCAATTTATCGAACGAAATATCCATATGTTTATTATTCAATTAATCCTTATCACAAATATATTCATATTCAACATAATCCAATAACTCGACAATTTTATTCAACCACATATAATCCTTATTTTAATCATTATACCAACTGACTTTTTTCTTTTTCTTTTTTTTTCTTCTTCTTTTTTTATTATCAATCACCTTTATATTCAATTCTCTTATTATTGAAATCGACATTTTTATTCCTTTTTATTTTATTTCATGTTCTTTTCTTTTACTTAATTAGTGATTAACAGAAAAAACCACTTATAATAATAACTATTTATTAGATATTATATTCATTTTAAACATCCGACATATTCCTATATAAGGATTTTCGAAAAACTGATTCATATTCAATAATCTTTTGTTACTTCTCTTATAGGTAAAACAATAATGCAAAATAAGAGGAGAACTTGTCGTCGTTTGGTCTATTAATGAAATGATTGAATGCGACAACTCTCTATATCATCTATATATCTTGCTTTTAGTCACCCTATACTTGAAACAAAAAACGACCATACAAAACGACCTACATACATATATATATATATACAAACGATCAAATGGCACTCATAGATCTTGTGTAATCATTATTATAATAAGAATATAAAGAAGAAAAAAAAACGATTTATATAAAAAAAAAAGTGAAAATGGTGACAGATTGAACATGAAGAAAAAACGAAAAGAAAAGAAAAGAAAAGAAAATAAAGATTGTAGTTATTGATTAAAGAGCGATCTTGCGTAAAGAGACATTGATAGACATTAACATGTCTCCCTTAATGACTTGGACACGTTCGTTTTGTTAGTTTACATAAGAGAACAAATGTGTTGAATGATGAGAGAAAAAAACCTGTGCGAAAGATGATCAATAAGTGTCACACATATATGAACGTTAACAGTTCGTTGTTCACATATATTAATCTTCGTCATTTTAAGTCAAGTTCGATTTGTGTAGACATGCATATATTATCTCATTCATTTTATTTTAAAAATTTTTTTCTTTTTCTTTTTCTTTTCAAAAATAAAAAAATATGAAAACTTAATTTCTTTTTAATTTTAATATTAATTTCTAATCAATAGAATTTACGTAATAACTTATAAAGAATACATAAAAATAATTGAAATTATTTCTCTGTTCGGCTTCTGTTTTCAATAGTTCGTTGTTTTTTTTTTCTTCTTCTCATTGACATAAATTGCTTATTTTATATGAACTATGATCAAACAATTTCGCTTTTATATCAATATGAATGAACGAGTCTAGCATTCAATCATATATATATACATATTACTACTCGTTAACAATTTTCATTACAAAAATTTATTATTGAATCTTTATTTAAATCAATCAATATATATATATATATATCATTGAACAATAAAAACAAATAACTATTATTTTTATCTATTAATTTAAATCAATATTGATCTATGAACAATATTTACTTTTTTAATTAAAATATTTTTCGATCATATTATATTTATTAAGAAAACTAACTTCAATAATTAAATATTATTTTTTTTTTTTCAATTTATTAAAAAGTTTAATTATAAAAAAAGATTTCTATTTATTAATTGATCAAATGAATAAAAATGCATTTTTTTTCTATAGGAATATTTTTTTTGTCGCTTTTAGTTTTTTCTTATGCATCAAAATTTTATTAAATTAATAAAAAAGAAAAAGAAAAAGAAAGAAATTATTTATTATAAGATTTTATTTCGAACAAAATAATTTTTCATAAATAAATTCAAATGAAGATAAATTCATTTGAGATTTATATTTTAGATTTAAAGATAAAATCTTAAAAAAATCTTGTTTCTTTATTAATACAATATAAATAATTCAAGTTGAATTTAACAATTCATCAATGATTTAATAATTAAAAAATACATTAATAAACAATTATATTGTACAATCACTCTCTACCTTCCACTAGAAACAACCATTAGTTCGATTACATTATCCGATATTTTATCTAGATATTCTAACGCAGACTTTAAACCGAACCTGCCGGTCCGATCCGGTAGAAGTTTTGAGATCGGTCAGTTTTTACCGTTTTTTTTTGTCATTTATTAGGGTATCATGTATCCTTGTTCTATAATGTTATACTTTATAACAGATAATAATATCATATTGATAATTAAAAATAAAAGTATGAGAGATGAGAAAGACATTATATGAAATCAGAACTATAGTCTCCAATCTTATTGTTTATTTGTTTCAAACCAATAAACTATGGCACATTTGTACTTTATACTGTACTCTTACATTTAAATTAGGAACAAAAAAGATTTCTATCTTCAATAATCAATTTTATATTTATTGAATAATTTTCCTTCTCTTTTGATGTATTTATTGTTTATCTTTGTTAGATTAGAAATTGCTAGTATATCACAGACTTGAAACAGGATCGGCTGCTCTTCACCGATCTTGATTAGAGCTTTTTTTTGGCACTAAACCTTACTTGTTTTCCTTGTTTTTTTTTAAAGATTTTTACAGGATGAATGGTCAGGGATATGAACGTGAAAGTTTTCCAATGACAAAATTTCAATAATATTCAGATTTCAACTCTAAATAGTGATCAACACTTTCTTATTCGACGGTCAGAGTTTTCTATCATGTTTAATGAATTTATTATGATCACGAAAAATCAGTCGAATTTTACGAGTTGATGTCAATCGAGATTAAACATGATTCATGTTAAAATTTTGGACTCATTTTTCTGGAGTAATTTCAGCCAGATTCATAGAATCTGAACAGCTCATCATACTTAGTTAATGCTTTTATTGGGAATTTTAAAAGAATTAGTTCTATTACCAAGATCTTTCTAACTGTTGTCATCATACAACCACAATAATAGTGAGATATTAATAAAACTTAAATCGAAATTCTAATGTAAAAGCGATACGTATTAATTCATCTTATCTTACTCTCTACAGTAGAGTTATTTTCGCAGATTGAAATATCTTTTAACTTCATTCACTAGCTAAATATTTCAAATAAAAATAGAACAAACCTATCAGTTGTAAAAAAAAATCGTATCGATTATTTGAAAAACCAACCCAAGGATAATCAGCTGTTATTGAATGTTAGCTATTGTGAGTCTGTAGTCGAGATTTTTTGAAAAACACCCAGGGAATAAAAACATCAAAAACATGTCATGACTTTCATGAATTTTATATCAAAAACACGAAAAAATGGCATTTTGGATGATGAAACGGACAAAAACATGCATGTATTTCAAATTCATCAAAGGAAATGAACATTTTAATCAATTTAATGCGATGATTTTAATTTTAAAAATATTTAATCAAAAACATGGCATTAAATTGATTAAAATGTTCATTTCCTTTGATGAATTTGAAATACATGCATGTTTTTGTCCGTTTCATCATTTTAATGCATTTTTTTTTATGTTTTTATTCCCTGGGCATATTGGTTCGTCCTTCATACTATCATATTATATGTGACAGACTAAAATAGAAGTTATTGCTAATCATTAGATCCTCCAAGAATTTTAACAGTTCGATATTGTATGTATTCGTAGAACTGAAATGACAAACTGTTTCCTGATAGAGTTTATTGGTAATTTGATACATGCAGCGCATCAATCTTTCGCCGGTCGAGTCAGGAATTTGGGCCGGCCGATCCAATCCAAAAAATGCTGACTGGTTCCAAGTCTGTTCTAACGATCTTATTATCTACTATTTAGAGTTCGATCAATATATTATCTTTTGTCGAACTATTTTCCTAAGATAGAACTGCAATTTTTACTTTTTTTTTTTTCTTCAATTTTGTTGTTGCTGTTGGTTGAATGGAGAGTTCCACTAACTTCTTTTTGGAGCTTGTTTAATTAAGTATTGATGGATAGATTATTGTTGAGATTTATTCTACAAATATGTCTCGATGTGTTGCCACATAGTGATTGATTAGATTATAGTTATTATTGAGTTATCAAGTAAATGTGACATCTTCGATATATGATAGAATAGATCTTTTTCTATTCTATATGGCTAGGATAAACAACGACTATCGTCAGCTATTTGTTGAAAAAGCTTGTTGGCACAGATTTATTGCCGCTGATATTTGGAAATCACATATCTTTTTTAATTTAATTATATTAATAAAAATGACATAAACTGTTAAACTTCTAAAAGACGATGATTTTTTTTTCTCACAATGATCGATTGTCAATAAATTTTAACATTTTTCGGTTGCATTACTTGAACATAAACTTTAAAATACACAAAAGTTAGAGACTTCGTTAGTTAGAATACGAAAAAAGCATATTCTAGCTGTTCAGATCTTAACGAAGTTTCTCAAATGTTTTCGAGACTTATTATTAATGTCTTCATCTTCTATGATATGTGCCTTTTGATGATCAAATTCTTATAGAATAATGCTATTCATATTATAAAATATTTTGTATAATCATTAAAAATTTAAGTAGAATATTACTTAGGATGATATTCAAGTTATGAAAATTATTTATACGTCACAACAAAGAGAATAACTGTGGAAACCTCGGACTTAAGTCCGAGAGTTATATGTACTTCAAAAAGTGAATGAGACAAGTCAGTCATCCTAGAATGTGTGGGTATACAAATTAGCTTGGCAAACCTTTTCTATAAACAATTGAATTCTATCGACTACTGCTCAACCAATAGGATTTGTGGACGAGTACAGCTCAGATTTGAACTCTTCGCCTTAATTTACCCTCAGAAAGTCGTTCTTTCTATAACTTGATTTCTATTGGTCAGTGTTCAATCAATAGGGCATCAAAACAAGTGGAGTACAGATTCGAGTTCTTCACCCCAGAAAACCTTCAAGCATCATCTTTTATCGGAAGCTAGTGCTCTAATTGTGGATCAGTTCCCATGTCGATCGTTCCGGCCACCGGATATTGCAGGAACCGGCAGGAAAATGCGGGAAAAATCACCGTATCCTGCAGAAAAACACCGGAAATAGCCGGAACATGGAAGCAGTAGTCCGGTCGGAAATTCTCCGGATTTTTTCCGGTGAATTCCGGCCAATTTCCTGTGTTTTCCGGCAGGAACCGAGCGGAAAATCAGCGGAAAAAATTCCGAAAATTTCCGGCCGGAATACTGCTTC